GCTTTAAGATAATAAATATTACACTCTTTATGTTAGATAATAAAAAAGATAATATAACAATATTAGTTTAAAAGTTATTAATTACACTTTGTTTGGATCATTGTTACCCATTGTATTATATTGTATCTTTACTATACCTACAATGTTTGTTTTGATTGTTACTTAAAATGTATTGTATTGTATTGTTAAATTCCTTTGTTACGTAACAATGAAAATAATTAATGATATTTTAGTAAATTTATAAATTACAATACAATACGATACAGTCAAACCAAACAATAAAAATGTTATTAAACAACAACAAACAATGTAGTCTAGCCAAACATTGTATCAACCATACAATACAGTACAATAGAGTACAATACAATACAATATATTATGAAACAATGGGTAACAATGATCCAAACAGAGTGGAGGGAGGAAGTTAAAGTTTTTCATCCCTCAAATTTGTCAAATTTTAGATGATATAAATGGGAATTGAGTTGTATAAACTAATCTTCTATATCAAGATAAAACTCCTCACTTATATTTAATACATAGACTTCAAATTGGGCAACTCACAATGATGAAATTAGTTTTACCAATGACTATTTTTTTTGGGTGCAAGTGCTAATTCATGAAAGCCTTCCAAACAGATTTATACAGCACGTTATATTATTGTTACGATTCACTCCATCGAACCGTGTGGAGTGTGGACACCTACTCTGACACCTAGATAAGAGGATCCTTACATCTAATTAAACACTGAAAATGCAGAAATAATTTATGAAGAACTCTGAACTCAAACTGATCGTAAACTAAAGAAGCTCAATCATGAATGAAAGATTTAGAGAAGAGAATGAGAAAGAAGAAGAAGAGAGGAGAAGATTTCATATATCAGCTTAAAGCAAAAATACAATGGAAATAGCTATTAATAGAGCTATCCTTGTAACTACTTTTGATAACAGTACATTGAGTTAGTTATAACTAGCTCTTCTTGATGGACTAAATTGCCCTTTCTGTTACTAACTAATTATTAACTCTAATGTCATCTAATTTACATCACAACACAAACTCTGAACTTGTGTGATTATTTTCATTTTATTTGATTATGTATATTGTACAAATCAATTATTTGATGAAATGTCAATGTTTTTTCTACATTGAACTCTTCAAGTAGATGTAGAGTACAAAAAAAGAACTATATATCATTGGTTAAGATTGTATAGAAGAAATTTGAAGCTACGTGTTTGGAGATAGAATTGTGCAAAGGACATATAATTTGTATAACTATATATATTGATAAATGTCGATTATATATTTATCTCTTAACTTCTTTATTTTGCTTTCTTTATGTCATTAAATCTCACTAATTTATTATAAATAATTGATGCATTACTGTATGTGTACATTCTTTCCTTTTTTTATTCAATTGTGTTTCAAATCTTTCATCTACATATAGCTTTATTCCTATACACATTAAAATATAATATTAAACATAACATAATATAATCAATATTCAAAAAATAACTAAAATTATTAACGTGTGAGAAAAATAATAGCTAAATATATTTATATTTGCCCAAATATCACCATCTCACATCATCCTCGAGCAAGCATTAAAATTTAATCTCAATGTGTAAGTAAATATTGTATAAATAGTGTATATGGATGTATATGTATCTCTGATATATAGTTATACATCATATGTACATAATTATACACTATTTATACAATACTGATACATTACATAACTATTTATACAACATTGATACACACATATACATTATATATATATATATATACACACACACACAACCATTTTTGTTGAAAAAACTTTTTGTCACCTGTACAATTACGTAAGAAGCCCTAGAAAATAGGGTTATTAATTTAAAATGGACATAAGTGAGCTACTATTCTAGTTGATAAGTACTCATTAACCATTCATATCTAAATATCTGAAATTGGCATAGCTCAAGTCTGAACTTCATAGCCATTAAAAGAAGAAGAATAGTTGGGTACTACAAGGCCCATAAACTCTTATAAATCTAAGCGAAAAATGCATAAATATATCTATTAATTTGTAATTTAAAACGAATATATTCTTTATTAAAATAATGACACATATACTTTTACAAATTTGAAAAAAATGTATTTGCTCCTCAAATTTTTTTAACTTTATGTTCAGTCAAAACAACGCTACATTGATATTATAAGTAGGTGCAAAACAATTTTGAACTTAACCTAAAGTTTACAAAAATAAAGAAGTCTTTTTAATTTTATGATCTTAAATTAAAATTATGTCAAATATATTAAATTATCCGTTAATTTTATGACTTTAAACATGTATGCACTTGCACTCATCTATGATCTATCTAAAAGTAGGGGGGAAAAAGAATGTAAGTTAAGTGATTAAAGCACTTGTGCTGGTAATTAGGGGTAATAGGCCTCTGTTATATATATATATATTGGTCATATAAAAAAAAATAGTAACTTAATTAGCTAGCTAAATTAGCTTAGATCAAATCCTTAAATTCAATTATATTTGCTTTTCGGTTTTTAAGGGAAAAAAAAGATACTCCTACTAGTTATTTACTTCGCTCTAAATTAGTTGTCATGTTTTATTTTCCAAGAGTCAAGCTATATGATTTTGACTAAAATTTTAAAATATTTTTTTCTCTCCATTAAATTGGCATGAGAAAAGTTGTGATTTGTAGTATATTTCATATAGTGTTTGAATATAAAAAAAATTATTTATAAAATATTGAGTTGATCGTTTAACCTAATTTAGCTTCGAAGAACAATAAAATTAACTTTTGAGAAGTGAAACATGACTGAAATGGAAGGGAGTACTTATCAAGTCATATTTGCAACAAGTGAATTGCATCTAAAGAAATCATGTGTTCCACGCCCTTTCCACAAAGACATGACAAGTTAATAAATATCTTAAAATTTAACTTTAATTTAAGTTGTAAATAGATATTTTTTTATACTTTAAAAACCTAGTATTAAAGTGTCTCACTTGAATACAGTGTATCTGAAATAAATTACACCTAATTTTAACCTCATGTATTTTCAGATACACGGATCCGGATGCACCAAAATCTAGTAAGATTCATAATATTGCAAACTAGAGTGTATCTAAATACTCCCTCTGTCCCTAATTACTTGTCCAATTTTCTTTTTTATAATTGTCCCTAATTACTTGTCCATTTTTGACAAATAAAGAAAGGACAATTTTTTTTACCTATTATACCCTCAATTAATTACTTTGAAAAATATATAACTTCTTGAAAATCTTAAATTTTTAATTCATCCACTTCATAATTAATAGGGGTAAAATGGTAAACTCACTATGCCAATAATTGTTTTCTTAATAGGTGTGCCAATTCAAAAGTGGACAAATAATTAGGGACAAAGGGAGTAACTAGCTCTTAAACTAGTGAAATTTCTGCAAGTTTCTCGTTTCTAAATTAATAATTTGTATATATTCAATAAACTTTTATCATATATACAGGGTTAGAACTAAAACGGTTGGATTCGATCGAACCAACACTCAACACCCTAGCTCCGCCTCTGATCTCAAGACTTCTAGCTTATGGCTAGCTAGCTAGTAGTAAAGTGATTTATGTAGAAAAAAATGCATGTATATCTAACAAGGCATCGATTGATTTGAAACATTAGTAGAAAGTTAGGAAGAGCTATATCTAGCAAGTTGCATAAATAATTTTTGATGGAGCTAGTGAAGTATTGTGTGAATTAAAGATGTTACTAAAAAAAAAACCCATAAAACAACAAAGTAGGTCACTTGCATCTCGTGTTAACACCCACATGTGAACCTCCCCCTAACACCAACAGTATTTTATCTATAATGGGACCAGATAAAATAGGGTGGATTGAATGCAATCGCCTAATTAACAGATTCACGTAAAACTCAATAGCTTTTGTTTTTATTTTATATATATATATAGACATTTACTAAATGTTTATAAGTATTTAGTGTTATATACTCAATTATTATTATAATATTAAATTAAAAATATTATATATAAATTTTAAATTCTAAATACGGAACTAAGATTGTTTAAGGTAGTTAATGAATAGATTATGAATTCTCCCAAGAAAAAGGTTTGTGTTGATATGATATTTTCGCCCAGAAAATGATCCTCCAAATCTCTACGCGCAGCCCCATTCAAAACAATTTTGCATATAGTCCACTCCTCTATCTTTATTTTAAAAAAATAGTTTAATTTATTAAGCTTTTGCTATACGTAGGAGTTGAAAAAGGAAAAAATTATAAAGGTTTATAATACACAATTTTATTTTATATTTTTATAAGTATTATTTTACAGTTCGAACTTATGATCTTCTTATCACATGGTATAAACTTTATCATGTTACATCGATAATTTCTAATGTTATATCTGGGACTGGGTGAGGAGCGGAGCTACCCTTAAGCAAGTTCAAGGATAATAATTAAAGTGTGCAACTAATAACTTGTGCCAAATTTAGAAATCACTAGATATTCTGTCATTATCATTTATCATACAAGCAAAACATGCAAAATAAAGAAGATAATTCATTAGGCTATATATCCTCTCTATCTTGCGGACTTAATGTTAAAAAATATTCTCATGTTTACTAAACCATCATTATCTATAACCTTTACTTAATCTTATATAATACATCTTACTCATGATTAATTCATCCATAAATGTAATTATTTTTTTATTAAAGAATATGCATATTTTTACGTCTATAAATATAGGTTGAAACCCAATTTTCATCCGTTCAGAACCACCAAAAAATGATCAAATTAAATAAAATATGAGCTCATTTTATCAACATAAAATGGTGTGTACGTCTTTCACGTACATCATCTGCGAGTGGTAGTGCTCAATATTTCCATTCTACCACAAATAACCCACGGGTTAGTTTCGTAAAAATACAAAACAAAATTTGTCATGTCCCCATGCAAACGTAACTATATATTTAAAGCACTTCAACAAAACAAAAAAAATCACTTGTTCCTTTTCAATAATGGAGCAAGTAAAATCACCACCATCCTCCCGGGCAATAACAAATTGCCGGGGAGGGGGTGGGGGAAGTAGTACGAGACACCCTATTTATCGTGGTGTCCGTAGACGAAGATGGGGAAAATGGGTGTCCGAAATTCGAGAGCCAAAAAAAAAATCGCGAATTTGGTTAGGTTCTTTTATTTCACCCGAAACGGCAGCTCGAGCTTATGACGTGGCGGCTTATTGCCTCAAGGGAAGTAAAGCGGAGCTGAATTTTCCAGATGAAATAGAGCGATTACCGCGGCCAATAAGTTCCGGGGCAAGAGATATTCAGGCAGCAGCGACGATGGCAGCGAATATGGGGATTGTGAAGGGAAAAAATGATGAAGATCGTTGTTGTAGCGATGATTTTTGGGAAGAAATTGAGCTGCCGGAATTAAGAGATATTGCCGGAAAAGATTATTATTTGTCATCGGAAAGTGATCATAATTATTTTAACTCTGAGGTATGGCAATGGAATTCTTGTGGTGTGGAGTTTCCTAGTGATAATATTATATAGTAGACAATTGAGTTGTGTAATTATTGTATAGTATAGTACTCCGTGTGTCGTAATTTATATGACATAGTTCAGATTTCAAGCGTCAAAAAAGTAGTGGGTGGATAAGGGAATTGGGTGGGGTGGTGAGTAGGAGGTAAAAGAGTACAAATCGGCCCACAAATTCAAGTGTCAAAAATTGAAAGGAGTCTTACACAACTATGATTGATTGGACCTCTATCATCTTAAAAATTTTCACACAACGGATCAAAGTGATCTTCTATTGTGTTGAATTTTCTTTGTCGAAAATACCCTTCCCCTTCTTCCCCGGGGTCCATCATACCATACAAATTTTAGAAGTACATATTCTATCCTCTCTATAATGCCTATTGCAATTACTTCATTTTGTAATATAAAAACGTGTATCAATTTTTATTTTTATTTCAAATATATAAATGTTAAATAAAATAAACTAAATATTTAAAATCTATTACCAACTGGGCTAAATTTTTTGAAGTGACTAGTCATCAGCAAAAGTGTGGCTTAAAAATATTTGCCAATATTTGAGGAGACAAAAGTGTAAGGAAACATGGTACATAATCCAACCTGGAGAGCTACAGATAACATTCCATAATATCCTTTAGAATCCAATGTTGCCATTACACCAAAGAGGGCCCAAATTTTATTCAATTTATTTCAATTTACGTGACATATTTTCTTTGTAATCTATTTTAAAACATGTCATATTTTTACAATCAAATATTATTTAATATTATTTTTTTAATAAAATAAGTTATAATCATATAACTATCTAAAATTTATTTTAGAACATAAATTTAAAAAATCCTTTCTTAAATTGTGTGTTTAGTCAAATGGTGTCACATAAATTGAAATAGAAGGAATAATGTAAAACAAAAAAAAATTGAAACAAAAAAAATACTCCCTCTATTTCAATTATATCTTCATAGTTTTACTAGATACAAAGTTTGAACAGGAAACAAATTTGAAATATCAAATATATAAAATAATTTTTTTTTAAAAAAGATATGAACATTTTATATGTGCCACAACTCAATCCCTTGTTTTGAGTATTTACTCTTAATCATTGGTTTAAGATTAAAAAAAATCATAATTTCTTTAAGGCATGAATCATGAATCATGATACATAAATATGACTATTAATTTGGATTCAACTGGTAACTTTGACATTTAACTGTAGGATTGCATGAGTAGACACTTAAACTTGTATAAAACTGAACAAATACACACATTCATCCTACATGGAAATTTTGTGACCTACGTGACGTTCTTCATGTATTATGTCACGTAGGACATGTGTGTTTACTTGTTTAATTTTGTACAAATTTAAGTGCCTAATTGTGCACTTCCAAAATTGAAGGACATAATTGTCAGTTGAAGCCAAGTTAAGGGCCATGTTTATGTATCACCTTTTTAAAGATTTATTCACAAATGAACTACACACATTTTATAATTTAACTTGTTATAAGAAAAAAAGGTATCTAATAGATAACAATTTTTTAATAGTACAATTGTTCATTAGGAACAAAATTTAAATAAGATGTCAAAATGAAGGATGAGAGTACAATTCTATGACATTAGCCTTGTTTAAATGTAGTACTCTGGTTTTAATTTCAGATTTGCTTAAATCATGGAGTTGTTAGGCTAATGTTAATTTTCGTTGCATAAGAGGTTATTTTGATCTAGTATATACGTTATTTAAAAAAATTGGAATTAGCAATAACTTTGTCGTTAATTTGCTAGTAGCTAATAGAATTCATCACTAAATAAAATTGGCGAGGAATTTTAATGTTTGACTACAAAATTTGTCAGTCGATAAATTCTAATTTTTTTAATAGTAATATACGGTTAAGCTAGTTAAGTAAAGGGTACACTTGATTAGGTTTAATTGGGCATTGATTGTTGGAAAATATATATCAAAGATCCAACTTTATACGAAGAAGATCACCAAGACGAAGGTTTGATAATATGAACAAAGAACACATAATTGAAGGCTTGAAACACGTGCTAAAAAGGAGTATTTTTAAAAAATGATTGTTCTCTCTCCTCCACGAGATTGCTATGAGATTGTATACAAATAGTTTTAGTGCATATGTCAAGCAAATGAATTTCTGCACTAAGCAAATAGTGAATAAATCCTATTGAAAAACAAGAATTCGGTCTTTTGAAAAGAAAAGATTTCTTTGAAAAATGCTATAAAGAAATGTATTCTGTAAAAGTTGTTTTTGAATTTGCAGTAATTGAATTTAAATGGAATTGATGGTAACCAAAAATTGAAAAGACACACTCTTTCATTTAAAAAACACCAACAACTAACGAATGAAAAGACACTCATCTCTCTCATTCAAAAGACACCAACTAAAGAATGAAAAGACACACTATTTCATTTTTAAAAAACTTATATTATTAATTCAATTTAAACAAAATTCCAACCTGGATCACATAGTTACGTTGTAGGATTTTAGTCGTGATGAATTTGATAGCAAAACATTATGTTAAGAGATCCTTAGGTTGAATTTTTGAGCTTTAAGCAAATTATAAAGTTTGACCATGATAAAATTTTGATTATGGCGACCAGGATAGGTGTTATTCCAACAATTCTGAAATGTGGTCTTAAGTCGATCTACATATTTGATTTGTTTTTATGGGATATTTTAAACGAATCTCAAGTGTCCATTTAGGAATATTAGTTGAGGTTGAGTTGCTGTTATATTTTATGGGGCAGATCACTTTCGAAGTGTGAGTTTTCCAACGTACGTACGAATAAATCAAGTGAAAGAAAATTTCAAATCAAATGCTCCTTGACTATATATGTGTTTTGGGTTATGGTTTGTTTTATCATACCTTATACTTTTGGTTTACTTTCGTTATTGCTTAAGATATTTGATAACTTTTAATATATATATATATACTAGATAATGTGGTCCGTGCATAGCACGGACCCAATAATATAAATGATATGTTTTGGGGCTAATAACCGAGTTTTTGAAGCGATTGTTTGTGTGGATAAAGGAATAAGTTTTTTTATCACAAACCTGTACTTTCTTTGACGCTATTTAAGGCATAATAAGACTACCCACGTACAACATTTTTGAAATATTTTATGTTGTCAATTATCATGATTTATAGTATTTTTA